CCTACTATCCCATCAGTAAAGGATGGACACCTGCACCTCCAAAGCAAGTTCAGTGCGTGTTTATTAACGTACTAGTTGCAAGTAGAACACTCTATACTATCCCATCAGGAGCCCAAGCTGCAGCAGCATGGCAGAGGAGGGGAAGTGGACCAGGCCTGAATCGAGGCGAACTTATGTCCTTTTATGAATAGATCCCTCCCTGGATTAGTGTCATGCATTTGCATGGTTCTGGCAGCCAGCCACCTGTACCCTGTACAAAAATTTCAAGGCACCCTGGTTGAGAAATCTGTATTAGACAACCAGCCAACAGATGTGCATCGTGGGGGGGGGTCGGTGGGGGGTTGTAAGACCTGCATGTCCCGCTGTCTTCATATACCTTTGGCTAGCTTAACTGTTCAGGGGTGCTTAGACAAAAAAAAATGTACATAATGAATTGTGGTTCTGCCCCTGTAAGCATATGCAAATTACTTTCCTCTTCAATGAATTAATGTAGTATTTTCCTGATTATTGTATTGCTCACTGCCATCTGTATAAACATCTCCCATTGCTCTTCACCAGGTACTGTTGGTGACTGGAAAAACACAATGACAGTTACCCAAAGTGAGATGTTTGACAGAGTTTATAAGGAAAAGATGAAGGATCTACCCATTAAGTTTCTCTGGGACATTAATGATGAAGAAGCAGGCATGTTAAAATGATGCTGAGATTTTAAAGTGACTCTGGTGGTAAATTGAGAACAGGATTAAAAACAGTTCTCTCCAAAGAAGCTATTATACACTGACCTCTCCAGCGTTAGGGCCAATGAACTCTGCTTCGCTAATGAGCAAATGTATCCCGAAGCTTATGTGTCCAAATATTTTACCTGTAACAGTAATTTTATATGTCATAATGATGGGCATTTGGTACACCTTTATAAATGTTTTAAATTTTTACATGCAGTGGCTCAGTTTCACTTTTGTTTCTTTTGCTTTGTAAAAAAAGTTATCAAACTTGAGCATGCTTTAACCCAAAGAGAAGAGTTTTTTTCTTAATTTACAGGAATGAGTGGCAAATTTCAGTAGCCTCATTTTATTACAGGTTTCTGCACTAGACCTAAAACAGGGTAAGATGTGGAAGAAAGAGGGATAGGAGGCATTCTATTCCAATACCGGGACGGTCCCTTTGAAGAGGCAAAGTAAAGAAGAGAGGCCCACAGCCTCGGCACTAATGGTAATTGTCACTTGGGATCAGTGGCGACTCTAGGAACAATATATAGGGTGGGGCACATAAGATACCACAGTCAAAACTGGGGGGGCACTAATAATTTTCACCACTAAATCATACCACTGAAAAAAATGAAAAAGACCGGGCCGCAACGCACATCACGGGACCTATCATAGCTAAAGCACATTGTCAATATGGCTGCTGAGAACCTGCCTTTTTATAGTGAAGGAACTGGCTTATCGAAAAGCCCCTTATTGGCCCTTCTAAGCAAGCTGACATAAGTTCAGAGGCCAGCAGAGCATTACTTTGCTGGGTCCACAAATTGCAAACATGATAGGATTAATTGCGACCCATTGTAGTGGTGAACCTGAACCTCATCCCTAATTGTGATCCACACCCATGGTTCTAATTAAAACTGTACCCCTAAAATACCTGAACAATGCCTGCATCCAATCGGATTGTTCAGGTATTTTGAGAGCCAGTGGGGCCGACTAGCAAGATACTGAAGCTTGGCCCAGTGGGGGATTCCCCCATCCACACAGTTTAGCATAGATGGAGGAATCTGTTGCACTTTTTCCATCTGACCATAGAAAATCTGCAGATAATCTATAGGTGTATGGGCAGCTTTAGATGTATTAGCAGATTAGGATTTAACCAGCAAATTAAATCCGAACTCCAGAAAACACTATTAAGCACTTACAGCAACAGTTTTATTTATTTATTTTTCCTTTTGGGATAAACGTTTTACATAAATGAATAAAAACTGACCTTTGTAGGCACTCCTGTCAGTGTTAAATTATCTCAACCCTCCAAGGAGAAAGATGGAAGTTGAAACATAACAGAATTACCAGCCAGATCCAGGGGTGTATCTACTGCAAGGCAAACTAGGCATTTGCCAAAAAATGCTGCCACAAAATGTGTTGATAGCGCAACCTGTCAGAATCTAGATACACCGTTTGCGCTGAATACCGCGACTGACAGGTTATGCAAAATGTCTTAAACAGGAAGGGGGTGGGACTAGTTTAGATTAGGGATGGGGGGTGCTCGGGTTTAGTCTTGCCTAGGGCAGCACAAGACCAAAATACACCACTGGCCGGATCACCAGGTAAAAATAAAGGAAACACAGCCTAAAAAACAAAGCTTTTTTTTTTTTGCTTTTGGCTTTAGGTACGCTTTAGGTTAGCCCATAATGTGTATCATCTAAACTCCAAACTTTCAGCACATACCTTTAAAAATACCTGAGTTCTGGTATCTATATTTATATTCACTCATTACTCCCAACTGTCCCTCATTTAAAAGGACTGTCCCTTGTTTGGAACTAAATCCCTCTGTTTCTCTTTCCTCCTCAGTTGTACTTAATTTTGGTTTGAAGTACAGACCCTTATTTTATTTTATTTTTTCTAAATGCACAATTTATCTGCAAAGAGCCAGCCTGCAACATTCAACCTGCTAAATAATTGCATTTCTTATGCTGAAAAGCCACTACAAAGGAAAAGTAGTGGTGGAAAAAAGTACTTTTCAATTTAACCAATCATTTATACATATTAATTCTTCATGATCTGGGCAACTAGGGTCCTTTGGCTTGTGTTATGGGGTGACTATGACACTCTTTACCTGATCCCTTTGCAGCAGAGGAGGCTGCCATTACCAGTCTGTGAAGAGTCTATCACACTGTGAAATATAGCTTATAACTTTCATTACTGCAGAGAGCTCCACTAGAGGGAATTGAATATGTCCGCAATCAGCAAAGTAACGGTAGTAAAAGAAGTTAACAAAATATGAGGATGGGGGACAGTAAGAAAAGCCCATGCATTCACCACAATAGGTAGAGACCTGTTTTAGATTTACTGTCATGGTTTCCTGTAGGCAGGGCCGCCGTCAGGGGGGTACAGCCGATATTCAAGTAAGGGGTGAGGGGCCTGTGAACCTTACATGAATATCAGCCAGCAGCCATACAATTGACTGGCAGTAGGTGGAGGCGGCCGCCCGGGCCCCGCAGCACCGGAGGAAGCCGGGGCCCGCACACTCGAGATCCTCACCTGGTGTTCTCTGTGCGGGCCTCCGGTGTCCCCCTGTCTGTGACTGACTGCACATTACGTTTTTAAAGATGGCCAATCAGAAAGCCGGGAGGCGGGTCATTACTCGTCGCCCGGCTTCCTGATCGCAGGGAATGCGGCTCCATGTTCCCCTATGGCACTGACCAGAAGTTCCAGTATCGGGGAATGTATCAGAGTATTTGGGCTGCAAAGGTGCCATACACCTTACAATTATCTGCAGATTTTCTGTGGTCAAATGGAAAAAGTGCAACAGATTGGCCCAGGTGGAGATTCCGCCACCAACACAGTTTAGCGTAGACGGAGGAATCTGTTGCACCTTTTCCACCTGACCACAGAAAATCTGCAGATAATTGTAAGGTCTATGGCCAGCTTTAGGATGTTGTCTGAACAACAACTCAACGTTTGAACACTGTAACATTATCATTGCTTGCTGGAAGCAATGCATGATGGGATATGCAGTCTTGAGAAATGGAGATTACATCTCATCAGGCAGCAGGGAAAGAGATGCAAAGTAGGAAGTCCAGGAAGTTAATGAAAATGATGGGCAGACAGAATCCAGCACTCACTACATAAAAGGGATTTTTGCAAGTAAGCTTTGATTGCATTAAGAAAAACAACTCTGGTATGTATTCCTATTACAATGCTGATGTGATAATAGGATAGTATATGCTGGGAATTTACAATGTCTGCCAGGTCAATAATGTTTTTTAATTTTTGGATACAGTTTGCACTGCTATCCAGGGCTCCATTCGAGAGACTTACCCTTACTTCCTGCTCTGCTAACAGTGGTTTCACCATACAGGAAGTAGGGAAAAACCTTCAACAGGAACACAAACCAAAAACTCTCACAGGGGTTCTAGCCTTCCCCTATTCTACTAAATAATTTTTTTTTTATTACAGTCTCTGTGGCTGTTAGAGAGTTCCCCTGCAGAACGGGAACCTGACAGGGGTTCTAATCCTGCCCTAGCCTCTCGAAAACGAACAAAAAAAAGTTTGGGCTGTGCACTTTAATTTTGCAGCCTTCATTTTAGTTAATGGTAACTGGTTCTTGAGTAGCTATAACATGTTCATGTCATGTTTTTACATTTTGAAAAGCTCTGATAGGCTCTAATTTTAAGAGAGGGCTGTGATTTAAGTCTTTTGATCCACAATCAAACAAAACCAGTGACCCTCCCAGAGACAGTTTGATCTTCGTGTGTACTATGTAACACTTAAATATATATCACTTTGATATTTAACCCCTTCGTGACTGACGACGTACAGTGTACGTCGCCAGCATCGGGGCTGTTTAAACAGACTCCCGGTGACTTTTAATATTTTCTTGTTAAATACAGCACAGGAAGCTCCAGTAGGAAGACTTTGTGTAAACAGGAAGTAACTTTGTAGAATAAACATATTCAAATAATTTAATGGTACTGAAAATACACCACAAACAAAATCATTGAGCACATATGAAAGTAACTTGTGCTCTTAAACAAAAACAAAAAAAAAGGCTTTATGACAGATCTGTTCAGAAAGCCAAATATAATGAATATAAGTAAATGGGTTGGTATGTTTATATGCATTTTCGCTAATCTCCCAGACCAGGCACGCATAATGATGAGGCATCCGTGGGCAGGTTCACACCATTTTCTGGACCAGATCTGGAACGCACTGTGTTGCATTTTGCCGTGTTTTTGATGCGTTTATGACACATTCAATTTTAGGTCTTGCTGGAGGACCTCTGCAAGACCTACAGATAGCCAGGAGAAGAGCAGCACAATGCTTGCACATAGGAGGCATGAACTTACCCCAGTTGTTCTTTTCAGAGCTGCTCAAATGATCATAGCCAGGGACACCCTGGGCAGCATTGCCTCTCCACTTGTCCATCTTCCTATTATTGTTCTTGTATTGGCCATGCCTCAGATCATACAGCTCTGGGCAGGCTTCTAGAAGTTCTACATAGAATTCAGTGTCCACTTCAGCCTTCATGGTTCCTATCTGCACAAATCTCTCTCTCCACAGAAGCAGGAAGTCCAGGGGTAATGAGATTATCCAAACCAACCAAAAAAAAAATTTATTTTTTTCCCATTGGGTTGCGTTCCATTGCATTCTTAACGCGTTTGTGTGCGTTCCGGTGCGTTCCAGACCAGACAAAATGTGACACACAGTATTTTTCTGGTCTGGTCTGGAACTGACTGCGATGGTGTGACACGAGGTGTGAAGAAGAGTATAGGGAAACATTGGGATGCATTTTAGATCCAGAAACAATCTGGTCTGGTCTGGAGGTGGTTTGAATGGGCCCTTAAAGTGGATGTAAACCCTAAAAGATATTTAGTTTGCTAAAGCACTAGGGGGGCATTTATCAAAACTAGAGCAGACAAAATCTGGAGCAGATTTGCACTGCAGCCAATCAGATTCTATCTTTCATTTTCAAATCTTACCTGAGCAAACTGAAGAGAGATGCTGATTGGTTGCCATGTGCAACTGCTCC